GTCAGGGAGGGCCTGTGGAAGTGGGGGAGGCGCTCACGTCTGGGCCCCGCTCCCCCTGGTTGGGGTGTGAAGCTGGAGGGCAGGATGGGCTGCACACGTGTGGTGGCCCAGTGGCCATCAACACTCTGTCATTTACTGATGCTCTCCACGTGCTAGAGACTGAGAGTCAAGATAAATAATCTGTTGTCCATTTGTCCAGCCTCTGGAGCGATGTGAACCACAGCACAAATGGCTCATCCTCACCATCCTACACTGTGTGCAGGGAAATCCAAAGCTCCCCTCTCCCAGGCAGGGAAAGTTCTGGACGGAGACTCTTGTCCTTTCTCATGCTAACTGGGCCCAGACGACCCTAAGGATTATAGACTATTTAATCCCTCTCCAAAAAAATTGAACTGTCTCACACAAAGAATTCTTCGGGTGGGAAAGCGATGTTCATTTCTACCTCTTTTGTCCAAAAACAGGCGGATTTTCCCTGCCCTCCTCATTCACACGGTGAAGTCTGTTTTGTTTGAAAGGTGAGCCAGGAGTCCCTTTGGATCCAAATACAAACCACCGTCTTATGCTGCGGGCGACTGTGAGTCAGAACCCACTCACATCCCGGCTCCTGTGACAGAAACTGTGCAATAGGAACAAAAGGAACACTTGTAGACTCTGAAGGCACCTTGGGGCTAGAAATGTGAGCTATCTAAACACGCTGCTTCAGGTCAGCAGAAGGCTCCGTCTACAATAGGATGCGCGACAGGGATTTCGAGCACCACCGGCCTCTCCCTCCTTAAGCCTAAGTACTGTTTTCCCACAGTCAGAGCCTGGCCTTGTACCATGAACTTCAGACGGGCAGAACTGCGCCTGCCTTGCTGCCGAGAGCCCGGCACGTAGTAGGCATACAGTATGTCTTTGCAGAATTAGTGCTGCCAGGCTCGGGGCTCCCTGGCAATGGGCACCAGAACTTTGTAATTGCTCTCGCCCTCGGGGAGGTGTGTTGGGAACTTCAGACTCCCTCTCTGAAGAGAGAAGGCAAATTGCCACTTGGCTATCTGACTTATCATTAATCTGTTCTCCGTGGTACACCCATCATTCGTGCTGGGTTTGGTTTGGTTTTTGAAAATGAAAACCGAGTGTCCTGAGAAATGAACTCACTTTGATCTCAACAAGCGAAGTCAAAGTACAAACTTTCTCTAGTGTTTCTGCTTAGAGTGTGCTGACGGACGTGCAACAGACAAGTCGGGGTCACGGACATTTCCAAAGGTCTGGGTAGTTCCATGACTAATTGTAATTACATGCTTGTTCTGAAACCGGTTCCCGTGGCTACAGAGACAGAGTTTGTGGGAAGAGGAATGGAGGTTTGATCAGAAGTTTAAAGAGAAACAATCCTTTCTCCTGGGGTGGGGGGGCGGGGTGACTTAGCCAGCCCCCATCCCCCGGGGTTAAGAGGAAGCAGGAGTGTGAACCGAAAGCGGGCTGTCAGCCCCCCTGTGCTGCCTGTGTGCAGAGAGGTGGGATTAGGGTCCCATGTGTCACGTTGTCATCCCACCGAGGAGCAGGGTGACGTGGTGCTACCCCCAGCCTGTCACCTGCTCAACTGGGCGCAAGAGCCCATGTTCAAGGTGCAAAGGAAGGCTTGTGGGGCTTTCTCTGGCCACGGAGAAACTCAAAGCCTGCCTGGAGGAGGTCACAGCTGTAATATTGACCTCGTTTGCAATCTCTACCCAGCAGGATAAAAATATCTTTTAAAAAAGAAAGCTTTTAAGAGAACATTCTTAGAAGCCAATTTTCTTAACTCTTACTTCTTCATTCCCGGGGCAGCCTGCTCTCAACTGTGATCTGCTGGTCTCAGGAGAAAAAGGTTGCCCGTGCTCCGTAGAATCGGAAAAGTAGGAGAATGGGAGCCACGGGCAGCGTCCTGCCGGCAGCAGGGCGTCTGGGCCAGGCAGTGGTCTCCTGGCCAACTGGATGAGTCACTGGGAGGAGCCTTCTTCCAATTGGGAGAGGCAGAAAGAAAGGAGATGTGCGTCTCCTGCCCCTTTGGTGGCTTTGGGTGGCTGTAACTTACGTTTATACCCCAGGTTCGGGGATCAGGAGTGCTAGAGAGCGGAGCTGGCTGGAGAGAGACCGGCCTGAAGTCATGAGTCCGAGGAGGATCCCCCTTGGCAGGCTTTCTTAGGACTTGGACCATTTCAGCCTGTTGATACAGTTAAAAAAAAAAAAAAAGTGCTGGGGGTTATTGCAGGAAACAAGGTCTTTGTAATGGTTGGAACAAAAATAGAGAAGCATGCATTATTCTTCTAGGAGCTGCTCGGGACAGGTGCCAAGAAATCAAGATCGGTTGCCTTAGGGGACGAACCCCTGAAGATACTGAAGAACATATATTGCCCAAAAAAGTTCACCAACACACACACATTTTCCAGCTTCCCTGCAGGATGCCCCAAGGGAGAAAAGTACAGGAAACCTAGAACAAATCACTTGACCCCGGCATGAGGAAGGTGACAGAGTCACAAGTATGGCTAAGTGTTTGCTCCCCCCACCACGATATTCTTTGGAGATGGGTGACGTGTCCCTCCCATAGACCGTGGGGGATGTGCCAGAGAAAGATTGGATGGTACAGCTGCTCTTTGAGCTGCAGTTTTTTGTTTTGTTTTTTAAGTCTTCTCTACACCCCACCTGGGACTCGAACTCATGACCCCGAGATCAAGAGTCGCGTGCTCCACCCACTGAGCTGGCCGGGCGCCCCTGAGCTGCAGTTTAAATGAGAGGAACAATGCGGTATTCCAGATAAGAAGAAGTTCCTACAGAAAACTTTGGATAAAATTTTGAAGGTGGAGAAAGAAAGGTGGGGGAGGGGGAGCCTTGGTCACAGGCTGGCTCAGGCCATTGGTGCCATCGGGCTGCACGTGGTAAAGCTCTTTATCTCTGTCACCTGGCCTTCAAGTTCTTCAGTGTTCAATGTGGAGAACATGCCATTGATAGAGGCGGAGGGAAGTGCAGAGGCCTTCTTCAAACAACACAACCAGAGACCACAAAGTGCAGGTTTAATTTAGCTGTGTATTTAAATACACTGGCACCTCATCATCTCTCAAAAAAAAATAATGAACTTTAAAAAAATCCCTCAGCCTGGCACATGGTTACTTATGGTGGATGACAGAATGTGTGGTTAATTTGAAGAGTCCATGGAGGGGGACAGGGGAGGCTGGAGAGCGACATAAAGATGAGCACAATGGGGTTTTATCTAGATCACGCTTTATCAGAAATTCATGTTCTCCTATGAGTGGTTTTTGCATCCTTGAGCCCAGGGTAGGGTCAGGAGGTGGGGGCCAAGCAGCTGGATAGGGTAGAACCCAGGACACCCACCCCATCCCCTTACTTATACACATATACACCCTAGATCCATAGAGCTGGTATCTCTCTTATTGCTGGAATATTTTCAGCAACAATCAATCCCTTTAAAAATTTTTTTCTACTTTACAGAGAAAAGAACCCAATGAACACAAAGCTCTAATTACTTGCATCCCCTTGTATTCATTTCTCATCCTTGCCAATATTTTTGTACATAGTCATCGGTTCACACCGATGGGCTGAGCCAGCCTGTGACCAAGGCTCCCCCTCCCCCACCTTTCTTTCTACTACTTTGTGTTCTAATTCTTCGCTACATTTTTATCTTCACATTTCCACCTGTGGATAGTTAAGTTCTAGTCACTGAAAGCCCCAAAGAGGTAGGAGACAGACACTGCCATTTTTTATTAGCTTCCATTTCTAGCCATCCTCCAACTGTTGGATTTGAAGGAGTAATATCAGATCTTTGCAGCTGTGACTAGTGATAACAGTCATCCCTAGACATCTCAAAAGGTGGAATGTGACCTGAACTAAGCAGAGACCTGTTTCAACTCCCAGACTATTTCAAGAGCTTGAAAAGTTCAGGCCCCGATAAAATGAAGTTAGCTGGAAGATCTTGGCTCCTTACTACTTTATAACAGGCCGTAGGTTTAAAGTCCAAGAGGGCTCGGATTTCTGCCCCACGTTTGACGTGTGAGGCCTCGGTCCAGGCTGCGGCGCTGACGTCCCCACACCTCGCTCGGCCCCCAGCAGGGCTACGGAGGTGCCGAGGCCCCTGCCAGCCCTCCCCACCAGGCTGCTTGGGGACAGAGACACCATCCATACTGGCATCTGTACCCCGCACGCTCTTCTTGCTGGCTCATCCAGCTCTCCCCGCCTGTCCACTGTTGCCGGCTAGCAGGTGGATCCTCTTCAGGAGTGGCTCGGAGAGGTAGGCAGAATACACGGTGAGCAGCGGGGCCATTCAAAGCCCGGGCAGACTCACAGAGGCACGAGGCGAATGCATCTCGACGAAGCCCAGACGCACCGGACACAGTCAGGAGCAGCTAGACTCTCTCAGGGCTGGACCACAGGAAGAGGGGAAAAGTCCACAACTAAGGAGCTAGGGGTGCCTTTGTTCTTGTCCTTTTAAAGTCATACTTGCAATGTACATAAAATACACGGCATGCTCCGCTTAAGTGGTTTAGGATTGTCCTAATTTATTTGCAGGCGGCAACTGCTTCTTTGTGTTTCTTTTCCCAGCCTAGCATCCAGGACAAGGTGAGTGCTCTGCACAGTTTTGGTGAAGCAAGCCCCCTTCTTACCTTCTTCTGAGTGACTGGTAAACTCCGGGATGCAATTCTAGTCCCTCAAACTGAAGTCAGTCCTTTGTTCTTAAACAGAGCCGTTGCAAGACCTGGGTGATTTGCTGCTGTCTGTTCTTGTTTTGTTGTTTTGGTTTTTTTTTCCCCCCTTTTCAAATGACTTGATTGTGATTTGATACCTCGTCTAGGTTGAAAACTGGAGTTGATTTTATTGACTGCCATATAGCAAACAGGATGTTTCACCCTTGACAGATGCATTTGTCATCCATCCCATTCATTAATGTAGTTTACGATGTTTGTTGAGTTAATACCAAAGACAAGTAGGATGCGTAATTCTGTTCTCCCTTTGCTGTGTGCCTTTCCAACAGAGCTCTCAATCCCATTGATATAAAGCTCCGAGGAGATCCCCAGATCTGAGCACTGAGAATTCGGCTCGGGTCCTCAGCAGATGGGTGTCACTGTCCTCTCCTAGCCAGCAGGATGGAGACCACGCCCTTAAATTCCCAGAAGGAGCTATCGGCGTGTAAGGATAAAGAAGATTGTCAGGAAAACGGAGTTCTGCAGAAGAAGGGTGTCCCTGTCCCTGAGGATAAGGTGGAGTCTGGCCACATCTCCAACGGGTACTCAGCAGTGCCGAGCCCTGGTGCCGGAGATGACTCTCAGCACTCCATTCCGGCCGCCACCACCGCCCTAGTGGCTGAGGCTCATCAAGGGGAACGGGAGACCTGGGGCAAGAAGATGGATTTCCTCCTCTCGGTCATTGGCTATGCTGTGGACCTGGGCAACGTCTGGCGCTTTCCCTACATCTGTTACCAGAATGGAGGGGGTCAGTATCATGGGCCACAAGGAGAGGCTCTGACCCAGGGGTGGTCTGTAAATCCTTTCGGGAGGCCAGAGCGGAGATCATGTCTTTTCTGTCTTGTCTGATGAGTCCAGGAACAAGCTTGCTTGGACTTTCAAGCTGGTCCAAAAGACAGATCCCCAGTAGACCAAATGTTCAGTCAGCATGTCTGAGGCTCCCTGGGTTATGAAGTTGGATAAAAGCCCTCCCAAACCTGACCTCGCCAGATTTTCATCATCCTTGTGCTTCATGTGTGGAAGAGCCCCCTTCTCACCCAAGCTCCACCCTCAGAGCGAGATGTGAGAATGACCATCAGCCCGTGCAGGCTCTGCTCGGCAGAGGCCAGAGAGGTTAGACCTGTGTAAGGAAAAATTGGGAAGGGGCTCTGGGGTCCCAGGCCCTCCGGGGCCTTCGGACCCGTGTGTGGTCAGAGAAGGACCTCTGCTCAGGTCCAGAGTCTCGAGCTGGAATCTGAGCGTGATCCAGAGTTGAACCCAGCCCCGGCAAGGCCTTAATGATAACCCCAAACCATACACTGGATCTGCCTTATGTCTCCTACAAGAGTGCTAGGTTTTTGAGGCTAGAGACTATTTCAGATTCCTCCTTCTACCCCCCAACACCTTCAGAGCAGTTAACTTGTAGATTATCAAAAAGAGTATCTGACTGCCGGCGTGGCTATGGGAGCCGTGGAGAGGGGAAGTGGAGAGGAGTGGAGTAGGTATGGGGCCTCTGTGTTGACGCCGGACTTGCTATCAAAATGGTAAAAGGACAAGAAATGGAAGTCAAATCAGTCAATATTTTTTTTGACAGAAGCTCTGGCAGCTGACTTGGGAGGGCAGCTAAAATGACGTTTGGGGAGAATTCATTAGTGTCCTCATTTCCTCCACGGCCTGACACAGAGTTGCCTGGATAAGGACCTTGGTCCACGTGCCTACGAAGGCAGTTCCGGGGTGGGGGGGTCTGAGAAGCCCAGCCCTCCCTGCCTGGGGAGCAGAAGTTATCTCCAGCTTGGGAGGGCTCATCTTTAGCCTGAGCTTTCTACAAGGGCCTGGGGCTCTGGTGACATTTGTCCTACAGTCATTCCCTACCATTAAGCCAGCCAAGCAAACCCGTTACAAATGCCACCGTGGGAACACAACGTGGTTCTTATTCCCAAGCTAGATGTACCCAGAGCGATTGTAAGTGAGGTGGGACCTTTCTGAGTTGCCCCAACTTCCAGTTTCTAGGTTCAGAGCACTTTATGGGAGGGAGGGTTAGCGGGGAAAATCACAGCTGACCCACCCTTTGGGCTGAGACTCAGGCGGCAGGTGAGCAATCCCCACCTCGGTGTCTCCAAACTGTGCCTCAGCCATGAGAGCCAGGGGACACCAGCATCTCTGGGGATGCCGCAGCCCCGCGCTTCCCCGTTCTGTGACAAATACCCTTCTCAGCCACATCTGCCAAGGGGGCCCGCAAGGGAGCGTTCTGGCCCTAGTGGAATTAGGAAATAGAGCCACGTTTCAGAAACAGAGTCTGGAGCCGGGGATAATAGGGATGAACGAAGGTTGGAATTGCAGGGATTTGCAGATGACTGCAGTCACCTTGCAGGCTGTCACAGGTGATCTGTCCCCAGGGTCTCAAACTCTGCTTGCCTCAGAATCACCTGGGCAGCTTACACATTTTTGTCTTAAACCCACACCTGGAACTTCCCCGTCGGATGTGTGTTCTTAAGCTCACCGGTGATTCCCTCGTGTGGCTGGCTTTGGGAAGCTCAGCCCTCTGCCACTCTTGTCATTTCATAGGGGAGGAAACAGGTTCAGGGAGGGGCGGTGTCCCCCAGGGTCGTCCAGGTGGTTAGAAGTGCAACCGATTCCAGGGCCTGGTCTGTTGATCCTGAACCCAGCTTGCTTTCCATGTACTCTCTGTCGCCTTCATTTACTCTCTGAAACCCCCATTTGACCGTGGAACTCTGGGGAAGTGCTAAGCCCGGGGAGCATAGTGTGAGGTCACTCAGCACAGGGTGGCTTCATGAGACTTGAGCATCAGACGGCCCCTCGAATCTTGGCGCTACCCTGGGTGTCCAGATCAATTGGGCTGTCCTGGGGCAGATGTGGGCAGGGGGTGAAATTGTCTTTCATCTGCCTCAGGGGCATTCCTCCTGCCCTACACGATCATGGCCATTTTTGGGGGGATCCCACTGTTCTACATGGAGCTCGCACTGGGCCAGTACCACCGAAATGGATGCATTTCTATATGGAGGAAAATCTGCCCGATTTTCAAAGGTAACTGAAAGACTTGAGTGGGGGGTGGGGTGGGTGATGGGTCTTGCAGGGGAGTGGTGGTTCCCGTCCGTGTATGGGAGCTGGGGACCTTCATCTGGAATCAGCTGGGCCTTAATGTATCTCTGGGCGATAGACCTGAGTAATTAAGTTTTTCACTGCTCAAGTGGTATGAGATTGTTAAAGGGAAACAGAATAAATAGCAATTAAAAGTAAACCTGGGGCACCTGGCTGCTAGAGCATGCGACTCTTGATGTCGGAGTCATGAGTTCGAGCCCCACGTTGGGTGTAGAGATTACTAAAAAAAATAAACAAGCTTAAAAATAATAACAATACAAGTAAAATAAGCATTTTAGAAAATAAATAAAAGTAAACCTAATAGAGTCCTATAAATATAGAGGATGGACTAATGGTTGCCGGAGGGAAAGAGGTGGGGGATAGGCAAAGTGGGTGAAGGGGACTGGGAGGGACAGGCTTCCAGTTATGGAATGAATCGGTCACAGGGATGAAAGGCACAGCGTGGGGCATATAGTCAATGGTGCTCTAATAGCGTTGTGTTGTGTGGCGACAGATGGCACTCCGCTTGTGGTGAGCAGAGCATAACATACAGATTGTCGAATCACCTGTTGTACACCTGAGACTAATGTAACATTGTGTGTCAGCTATATTCAAATAAAAGTACTTTTTAAAGCAACCAAAAGAGGGCGCCTGGGTGGCTCAGTCGGTTAAGCGACTCCCCTCGGCTCGGGTCATGATTCCGGGATCCCAGGATCGAATCTCCGACCCGCAGGGAGTCTGCTTTTCCCTCCGACCCTCCCCCCTCTCATGCTCTCTCTCACTCTCAAATAAATAATAAAAAAAATAATAAAAATCTTAAAAAAAATACAAAGCAACCAAAATATAAAGAGTTCAAAGCAGTAACAGCGCACACACGTCTTGCAAATACATCTAAGGAATTTACCACCGCTGTCCGCCATCTCCCAGAGTCTTTTGGGGAATGAGGGGAATGGCAGCCCCCAGCACTCCCCCTCCCCTGAGCTGCAGGGCCCTCCAAGGCCCCCGGGTCCGTCAGTCTGTCACTGTCGGGCCGCCCTGTAAACGTGCCCCCCCCCCCGGTCCCCCTCTCTCCCAGGGATCGGTTACGCCATCTGCATCATCGCCTTCTACATCGCCTCCTACTACAACACCATCATGGCCTGGGCGCTCTACTACCTCATCTCCTCCTTCACCGACCAGCTGCCCTGGACCAGCTGCACGAACTCCTGGAACACTGGCAACTGTACCAACTACTTCTCCGGGAACAACGTCACCTGGACGCTGCACTCCACGTCCCCCGCAGAAGAATTTTACACGTAAGTGCATGTAAGTGAGGGTGGTCAGGTAGAGGCGGGCCACACCCCCGGGGCGTGGCTTCTGTGGAGGGAGGCGGGGCCAGGGGCTCCCCGCCTCTTCCCTGGTGTGCGAGAAACGAAGCTCTTCGGCAAGAGGAGTAAATAAATGTAAGTGAGGGAGCGGCAGGGCCGGCCCCAGGCAGATGTGGAGCTGGGAGACTCGACCTCGAGTGCTCCCTAATCTGGCCCTGTGGGCTGTTCCCCGCCCCCCCCCCCGCCCTTCGTAATGTGCCTGGCCAGGCTGCCCCCAGGTGCCCAGGCCGATCCCTTCCTTCACATCCCAGAACGACTCCGCGTCCAAACCACCCTTCCTCCTGGGCCCCCGCTCTCCCGCCGGTTTTCAGGGAATCAAAGCCTCCCCCTGCTGCCGTGGTTTGCAGCTATTCAAAGGGTTTCTGGTTTCATGTGTTCACTTCACAAGCGGGACCTACCCTTTGGAAGAAGATGTCTGGAGTACGGAGTACTTTTTAATGCCGGCATTGCGGGCAGCGCAGCCCCAGAGAGCGTGATTTTGGGGTGGCGAGGACCCACTACCCACACGTACAAAAGCTGCCCAGGCCAGGAAAGGAGGTGCCTGAGAGTCGGCCTCGGGGGCTGAGTGCTCTTCCCAGGGGCTGTGGGCCGAATGTGCCGCTCTGTCCCCCAGGATGGGCAGGGCCCGCTCTTTCTGAGGCTTGGTGCCTTGCTCTGGTCCTTGCAGCACCTTGTCCGGTTCTTCCCTTGGCACCTGCGGGATCCGCTCGCCCCTCAGGTCATCTCACGGGCCTTTCTTTCTCGCTCACTCCAGGCGCCACGTCCTGCAGATCCATCGGTCTAAGGGACTTCAGGACCTGGGGGGGGTCAGCTGGCAGCTCACCCTCTGCATCATGCTGATCTTCACTGTTATCTACTTCAGTATCTGGAAGGGTGTCAAAACGTCTGGCAAGGTGAGGAGGACTCTGGCTGCAGATCCTGACCTGCCAAGGGGCCCCAGAGGATTCAAACTCAGAACTCAGTAGCCTGGACAGCCATAGACACAGAGACATTGTGTCCTTCAACACCAAACATGATTCGTGATGCTCAATTTCTCTTCACCAAATCTGTTCAAGAATTCTAGAAATGGGCCAATCCCAGGAACCATTATATGATTTTTTAAAAATTCCTTTAACCCACCTGTAGTGTCACAATTAATAACCATGGCAATAATTTATTGAAAACCCATGATGGGCCATGATCAGTGCTTTATATACACTGGCTACTGTCTTGTCTTTTGCTGGGGTTTCCCATATTGCAGGTGGGAAGTGGGTTTGGAGGTGGTAGTGCTGGCAAGCTGGCAATCAGATGCCCGTCTGATCCTAAAGGCTCTGATATTTCTGCCACATCACCCTGCCTCCTGTAGTTACAGAAAGCATAAAAGGCACCAACATCCGCATGCTGACAATCTGTTTCTACCCCCTTCCTTCACAGGTGGTATGGGTGACAGCCACCTTCCCTTATATCATCCTCTCGGTCCTGCTGGTAAGGGGGGCCACCCTCCCTGGAGCCTGGAGGGGTGTTCTCTTTTATTTGAAACCCAACTGGCAGAAACTCCTGGAGACAGGGGTAAGATAACAGGAAAACAATGGGCACCTGTCTGTCATTTTACGAACTGAAGCTAGCGCCCCCCCCCATAAGGGGGACAACTGAAATTTAGGCTCATTATTGCAAGTGTGCAATAATGTTTTAAATCAGGAGTACAAGCATGAAAAGTACAGTCAAGGCCAGTGGATTGGTTTGTGCCAAAATGTTAGGAAGAGAAATCACATTTGTTTGCACTTGGTATGTGGCCGCCCCTGGGAGGAGCTTTGAAAGCTTGTTTTTCATTTTGCACAGAGAGTATGGCCCCAGGCTTGGCCCTCACCCTTACCTCTGCTGCCTTCCAGGTATGGGTAGATGCCGCCGCTCAGATCTTCTTCTCTCTTGGTCCTGGCTTTGGGGTCCTCTTGGCTTTCGCTAGCTACAACAAGTTCAACAACAACTGTTACCAGTGAGTATCTTGGGCTCCCCAGGCAAAGCTTGAAAGTGGGGTGAGCATAGTCAGCTGGCCAGAGGAAGGTGATCGAACTAATGGCCTCAAACTTGGCCAGGCCCAGGCACCCCCCCAGGTCCCTGACCGGTTCCTCCATGGCCAGAGCACCCGCCCAGTCCATAGCCTCCCCTAGTCAGGGATTGAGAGAGGCGCCCCAGGCCACTTTGGTTTTGTGAGAGCTTCTCACCAAAAAAAATTTTTTTAAATTAAGAAACTCCACAGCAGATTTTAAAAAATTGCAACATACATTAAATATTTAGATTTCACTTATTAACGTGTTTAACAAAAATTGTAATGTGATCATTTATTTATGTACATATTCACAAAAGTGTAATGATTGAGCTCTTTTTACCAATGTAAAATGCCACCATGATTTTTGCCGCAAAATCTCATTTCAGAAATTTTGACAAAACGGGGAGTGTTGTGCCAATTACGATTTCACTATCGGTCGTCATCTTTAGAGTTAACTTTGTTTGAATGTCTTCTCAGAGATGACAGTGTCCAGCACTCTAATCGTGCTGTTCATAAGATGATTACAGAATTCACTTTTTCTTACAAAGGAATCCACAAGTACCCTAAGCAATGTGGCATTGCCCTGGGACACCAGCCTGAAGTTGGATGACGAGGTCTTCTTTTAAAAGTATCAGGATATCCCAGTGACAGGCTTGTAACCTCATTTGCACATAATGTCAAAAGTCTAAATCTGAGGTACTTCATGAATATGAGGCCAAGGCCCCCTCACGGCCCCGCCTCCAATCCAGACCTTGCTTCAGAGCAATTCTTTTTTTTTTTTTTAAGATTTTATTTATTTATTTGAGAGAGAGAGAGAGCACAAGCAAGGGGAGTGTCAGGCAGAGGGAGAGGGAGAAGCAGACTCCCTGCTGAACTGGGAGCCCGATGTGGGACTCGATCCAGGGACTTCAGGATCATGACCTGAGCCCAAGTCAGTTGCTTAACCAACTGAGCCACCCAGGCGCCCCCAGAGCAATTCTTGTTTGAAATCAAGAGGTCTGTGTGGTTCCAGTTCACCACAGGAGGTCACGATAACCAGTCCTGACCTGCGGCTCGTCCCCACCGTGCTTGGTGCTACCAGCAGCTTGTGCTTTAAGCTACCAACCAGTGTGAGAGGCCGGGGCTGGGAGAACAGGAGGGGACACCAGGACGGGTCCCTGCGGGCCTTGGCTGGAGACAGATGCTCTTGAGACTCTCTCCTTGGAAATGTCTCAGTTCCCATGCGTTTTCTGCTCCAGAGATGCCCTGGTGACCAGCGTGCTGAACTGCATGACGAGCTTCGTTTCCGGATTTGTCATCTTCACGGTGCTCGGGTATATGGCCGAGATGAGGAACGAGGATGTGTCCGAGGTGGCCAAAGACGCAGGTTGGAACTTGGGTTCTCTTTACGTCCCCTTGCTCTCGCTGAATTGCTTGGCTGCTCTTTGGGTCCTTATAAATATCTAACTTTTGAATTATTTCTAAATGTTCCTTTAAACATTGCCCAAGGTTTTAGAGAAATTTACTGCCTTCTGTGTGCTCAGCCATGATGGGGATGGGGCAGCTCCCCTGAAAATGTGACTTGGATGAGGGCTTTTAAAAAACCACTGGGTTTGGGTCCGGCGATGGGTCCAAGTCTAATAAGCAAATGATTACTAACCCTTAGAATTTCCCCTTGCAGAAAAAGAAAATATAGATGACATATCACTCTACTGTATTGTGAGGTTTTCACAGAAAAGGAGGGACAGATATTGAAAAAGTGGCCATGGCAGCTTGTGGATAGAATCCCAGGGCTTTCTTGCCAACAAGCCTGTCTTTGGCCTGATGCACAGCTCTGATCATCCCCGTACCCCAAACTCAGGCACCCCTGTCTCGCTCGTGAGAGGTGGAGGACGTGTCCCTCACACTAACAAAAGGGACTTTAAAATAGTGGGAGGTCTTTATTCCAAGGCCTCTATGACTCTTCTGAAATCAGTTCACATTTCCTACTATTCTGGAGCTAACGCCATCAGAGAGAGCTAAATGTTCTAGAGCTATCAGTCTTGGCCCTGAAAAAAAGCTCTGAATTATGATATGGTGGAAAGTCTTACTTCTGTGTGCAGCTTTGCTAGTCTTAGGGTCTTGGGTTTGTCTCCATTCCGCCCCCCCCTCCCCATTGATTGAGGGTTCACACTTTTCAAGATGGCTACTGTTCCTTCCCTGCCTCGCATGATGTCGGGACAGTGGGATGGTGTGGCGTGTGAGGAAGCCTCGTTCACGTGTAAGGTCTCGTGACCGCAGTTGGTGTGGCTGAGGTTCGCCCCGAGACATCTTCGCAGGGCAGGTGTTGGTGACCACGTCCTCCTCTGTCCCGCTCTGTCTCAGGCCCCAGCCTCCTCTTCATCACGTATGCAGAGGCCATAGCCAACATGCCAGCATCCACGTTCTTTGCCATCATCTTCTTCCTGATGTTAATCACACTGGGCCTGGACAGCACCGTGAGTGAATGGGGAGGGAAACCTGGCTTTCTGGAGGAGACAGGGGATGGGGGGGAGGAAGGTGCACGTATTCCTCCCATCCTGGCCAGCTCACGCGGTGTTGACTGCCCCCTCCCGGTGCTCCCTCAGCCCCTGGCTCAGGCCCCACCACTGGTGCTCGTGGCCCTCGAGGACATGAGAGGGTCATTAATGGGCTAATGAGGGTTAGGTGTCCGCACAGGCCAGGGCTCAGATATGTGAACTGCTATTACTGTGCACCGTCCCTGGGCCAGAGGGCAGCACCTAAAGGTCCCTCTTGTGTCCTGGTACCCTGCTGTCCTGCGTTTGGCTCAGCACCTCAGCACATTCCTAGTAGCGTGGGATGACTCTCAGCTTTGAGTTGGCCTTTCTGGCACAACCGAAGTCTCCCCGAGAGACCTCACATACAGAAATCCTGTCCAGGAGCTGTATTTTCTTTCCCTGATGTCCTTGGGGGTGGGTCCTAAGTGACCATGTAAAACAGGGTGATAACATTGCCAGTGAGGGCCGGGGTGTATGGGGGGAACCGGTCATGACCAGCCACCCTCCGGCCTGTTCGCTGTCCTTGAAGGTAACGGACTTGTCCCGAGCCTCCCCTGTGACTGCTTGCGTGTCCCTCTCAGTTTGCAGGCTTGGAGGGGGTGATCACAGCTGTGCTAGATGAGTTTCCCCACATCTGGACCAAGCGCCGGGAGTGGTTTGTGCTTGGTGTGGTCATTACCTGCTTCTTTGGATCCCTGGCCACCCTGACTTTTGTGAGTACCACAACCCCCAGCTTTGAGTAGCCTCTCCTAGGGCAGCAAAGCCCTACAAGGACCCTCCATCGTCCGTGGGGGCCCTGGCTTGGGGCCAAAGTAAGAGGGGTTGATCAGACACAAAGTTGTTTCCAGCAGCGTCTGTGTGTAGAATCTGTGCCTGGTGGCTGGAGGTCTTTGCGCCCTACTGTAGACCCAACTAGATTTCAGGCTTGGCAGGGTGTCTGCAGAAGAACTGAGATTTGCTTTTCCAGTCTTTAGGCCTGCTTTCATGGGATTGTTGCCCTGATGTCCTGATATGCAGAATATCTGGAGGCTGGCATCTCACGTTTATAATCTCACTTTGTCTCCTCCAGAGAATTTGCAATGGTGAAGTCAGACCCTCTCCCATGATTTTTTTTTTTTTTTTGCTAGCTGAGGCAAATAAGGTAAAACAGAATGCCAGGCATTCCAGGCTTGTGCCAGGCATTCCAGGCTGACTCAAGGCAGATTTTGAAGACCTGCCTCTTCAAGCCACGACCCCAGAGGCTCTGGAGCTTCATTGGGGTGGAGGTGGGGGGGCCCTGAGGAGGACCCAAGGGATTGGCAAGTTAAGACAGATGGCAAAACCAGGACCAACGTGCTGGTATGGTGAACTCGCCCAGATTCAGTCTTTAGGGTAGAGTACACAGTTAAGTGCCGCGTCAATGGAAGAAAGTTGAAAACAGACCCAGGGGCTCTTTTGAGTTTGTGTCTTAAAGCTCAGTGGGAGAGGAAGCAAGGAGAGAGTGCTCCATAGGACGGGAAGAGATGTCTGATGGCATGAAATCTGGCCCATGCTGCGAGGGCCAGGCCAAGAGGCAGGTTCTGGGATATTTATATTAGGTCCAAGGCGGGAATGATCCATCGTTAAGAAGCTGCTTTTGGCCTTCACCGTAGAGAGGAGGCAGTGCATCAGAGGGCCCTTAACTGTTTTGCCATCTCATTTCCAGGGAGGGGCCTACGTGGTGAAGCTGCTGGAGGAGTATGCCACGGGGCCCGCGGTGCTCACCGTTGTCCTTATAGAGGCGGTTGCTGTGTATTGGTTTTATGGTAAGATGCTTCCTTCCGCCAGTTGCGAGCCTTTCTACACCAGTCTGTAGCCACCAGAATAGAGAAGGGCTGATTTCATCAAAGAAAGCCGGGGCAGGGTACAAGACGTCATCTCCCCGGGGGTTTCTAAAGCCACCCCAGCAGAGTGCCTTCTTCAGAAACAGGTCACCATTTCCTCCACACTCTGTACCACGGATTCCCCTGACTCGTGGGAGGATGCTGTTTCCTTCTGAGTTTAAACGTTCACCCAGCGGACACAGGCTGAAGCAGTTCCATAGAGCTCATCCTGGTGGATGCTGAAAGTGCTGATGGGCTCTAAGAATAGCACAGACAACAGAGAACTACTGGATGGTGAATGCATTTGTAGAGGGTACAATATACTACTATTTTACAGAGCTCCCCACAAAGCCCCGAGATAGAGTCTAGGAGATTATCTTCCAGGGAAGAGGCAAGAATGTTCCTGTTTGGATTATTTACCTTGGTAAAATCCCCAATTCACTCCCTGTGATGCTGGGATGGAATCTGATAGGGGTGAAACTTGCAGGAGCACAGAGAGTAAGCTAACGTGGGTCCATTGGCAGGGGTCCCAAGAATCTGTGGGTGCAGATGGGGTTGGCCCAGGCAATTGCAATGAAGAAAACCATGTTCAGTGGCTCCTGGTTGGCTCAAGTCCATAGAGTATGTGACTCTTGATCTCAGGGTTGTAAGTTCGAGTCCCACATTGGATGTAGAGATTACTTATTGGAAAAAAAAAATGAAAGAGAGAAAACCAGGTTCAGAGATACCTCTTTTCATCTTTAAAATCAAGAAGTGATTATTTCATTCTGAAAATGTATTGATTTCCCTAGTTCTATGGTAATAAAACAGCTTTAGCATGTTTCTCATTACACATAACATGAAGAAGGGGAGGCCCCATATTTTGAGTTGCACATGGGCCCAGTTTTTTAAAAAGAATTTCTCCCTACCTCCTCAGTGATTCAGATGACAGAGTTCAGAGTAGGTGCATCGCTGTGGACCTCGCTGTTGCCGGGGCTCTTGGGGAAGCGACTGCAGGGCACCCCACCTTCCCCTTCCCAGTTTCTCACCAGTCGGAGTTCTCAGTTCTCACGTTCTCATACTTTTTATAGAAGAACCTTGATCTTGATCTGGCATGTGAATGGGCAATCTGTGGTTAAAATTTTCTCTTGAACATTTCCAATGTACGGTCCAAGTCAGTCTCTGTCAAGTGGGTTCACACTTCCTAGATAAAATTCAGCTTTCTTTTCTACAGTAACAATAAAATCAAACGTGTGCTGAGTTCTCAGAAATCAGTGCAGTGTGGGCACCAAGAGGGGGCTTTGGGTCCCTCCCCAAATGTCCACCTGTTCCTCCAACTCTGCTTGCTATCACATGTAGTTTTGTGACATGTCTGCTGTCCCACTTTCTGACCAGATTGGTGCCCTTGAGCCCCAGCCTTGGACAAACTCCAGAGATGCTACTGTCTCTAAGAGTCAGGGGATAAGACAGTCCATGTCCTCCCTCAGTCAATCTCTTTCTCTTGTGGGTGATTTTAGGCATCACTCAGTTCTGCAGTGACGTGAAGGAAATGCTCGGCTTCAGCCCTGGGTGGTTTTGGAGGATCTGCTGGGTAGCCATCAGCCCTCTCTTTCTCCTGGTAAGTGGTCATTTCCCTCTCCTGGCCGCAAAGGAAGATTCACCCAAACACTTATATAGAGTAAACTGCATTGAAGTGTAACATAGATACAGAAGAGTGTGTAAATCTCAAGTGTACATCTCACTGCAATTTTATAAATCAAGCACGCTTTCACAGCAGAAACCATGTTAAGAAACAAAAATATGACCAGCCCTTCAGAAGGCCCTCTAGTGTCCCCTCCCAGTCACTGTGCTCCCCATGCTTCCCCGCTCTTCTGACTTCCAGAGCCATGGAACGTTAGTCTAGGCTTGGGTCCCCGCTGCCTGTGTCCATCACTCCCCTGCTCAATGATAATGATAAGTAACATTTATTGAACATGACGTACCAGGCCAGACTTCGGGCCAAACGTGCACCTGTTGCTCTCTGAATCCTTACAAGAGTCCTATGAAGGAGCATAGTCCTGATACCCCACTTTACAGTCAAGGAAATTGAAGCCTGGAGGGTCCCAGGTCACATGACAGGTAAGACCTGCTCAAGACCTGGGAAGGATTTCCTGAGCTGCTCTCGAAGGCCCTGGGTGGAGGGGTCCTCGTAATGTCGTATGCATTTTCTTCAAGATGCCCCACATGAAAGTCCTCAAGCGTGGACCTGAGTCAAAAGTAGAATCCATTTAATGCCGAAGGACCTGGGTGAGAACATTCAGTTCCAAGCGTTGCCTCTTTGCCAAGATGTGTTCAGCACTCACTCCCCCGGGCAGCAAGTGCCCCTGCTTACCTCCCGGTGTCCCTCCAAAGGAGAGACACTTGCCCCAAGATGGCGAAGCTCCCTGCTCATATCCCACATGTGCTCTGACGTAGGCTGGGGTAAAGTGACTCCGTGCTTGTGGGCAGGGATCACTCTCCAGCTCTTTGATTTAACTGTAACTTTATCTTGGAGGGAATTTTTTATCTTTTAGAGCCAGAGGGCTTGTCGGACTGGTCCCTCCATCCGGCTCCAACTTGTTAGGAATGTCTGGACCAAACATTTTGTCTTAAGAGACATCTTTGGCTTTGACATAGAGATAGCTATTCCTTCCCCGTCTTGTTTAAAACAACAAGGAGTTCTGTTTTGACTTTCTCTGGGCAGCCCTTTGTTTGGTACTTTTTGTACCCATATGTCTGGACACTAACATATAAGATGAGCAGGACGTGCCTTCTTGCCTCTGCAATGTTGCATGAGTCTCTCTGTACCCAGAATCCCTGCTTCACTTCCATTCCCCTGGACCCTGGAGGTTTCCAAAACCAAAACCAACCATTGCTCCAGGCAGCAGATAATTCTCAGCACCGGGTGGCTCTGGGGTGTGCGCTGGGCTCTAGTGTTCCCCTAGATTTGGCCTGGTAGTTCCTATTATCTTATCAGTTCACTGGTGCTTCTAGGTAGATTAAAAACACATGTATATTTTTCTTTCAGATTTTTATTTAAATTCTAGTTCATTAACAGACAGTGTAATATTTAGTAGAGTAGAACTTAGGAATTCGTCACTTACATAAAAGCCCCGGTGCTCATCACAGCAAGCGCCCTCCTCAACCCCCATCACCCACCTGGCCCGCCCCCGATCCTCTCCCTCCAGCCACCCTCAGTTTGTTCTCTATCGTTAAGGGTCTCTTATGGTTTGCTTTCCTTTCTCTCTCTTTCTCCCCTTCCCCTATGTTCACCTGTTTTAAAAACATTTCTTTTTTTAAATCCAGGAGTTTTAATTGTTTTCAGTGAGGGCGTTGGCATGAACCACCTAGCCTGCCATCACTAGACGCAGAAGTTCTCACATAAATGGATTAATAATTTATATTATTACCAGTGCTTCTTGATAATCTACTTAAATCCTTTCATTTGGTTTTCAAAGGAAGAGGAGACACTGCATTAGTTCCATGAGGGAAGAAGCTAGATCTGTTTGTTTGTTGACTTTAGTATTCCCCACACAGGGAGGAAATGATGTCCGGGGCTGGGATTTGGGAGAGGCAAGTAGAGGCGTTCTCCACAGATGTCAAATTGAAGGGGGGGGAGGGTGTGTGCCATAACACTCAGGAATCAAAATAAAGACTATTTTACCATAATATTTTTTAAAAAAAACCAAAATGAAGGCAAAAAAGTCCCCAGTCAGCAGATTTCAACATTTTAAATAAACAAAAGATCTGACCCTGGACTTGCCTGTCTCACCTCACTCACCTTACCCTGATCTGGCCCTGCCAGATCTTGTCTTTTTTAAAATATTGCACTAAAATAGTACTCCTTGATTACTAAAATGGACTTAACTGTTGTGCCCCAGGTGAGTGCCTCACATGTGCCACCTCGTCCTGGCCCCAGGCTTTTAGTACTTTAATCTCTGTGAGCCTCTGGTTGTCTTGCAGCCTGGGTGGGCGTGTGGTGTGCAGTCAGTGCGTTCCTGTGCCCAGCAAAACTCACGCACGGATTTGCGTTGAGGCCTGTCACTCCTAGTTTGTGTGATGTTTCCTTTACTCACTTCCTCTAAAGGCAAGTGCTCCAGTACCCAACAAAGAGAAGGCAAATCCGTCTTCCCCTTCTGGGTTTACTTACCAGATCCCTGGCTCTGCGCTTTTTAAGGCTGCCTTCAGTAAACAATGAGTAGCTTACTAAAAATACTCTTTTTCGGGCACCTGGGTGGCTCAGTTGGTTAAGCGACTGCCTTCGGCTCAGGTCATGATCCTGGAGTCCCGGGATCGAGTCCCACATCGAGTGCCCTGCTCAGCAGGGAGTCTGCTTCTCCCTCTGACCCTCTTCCCTCTCGTGCTCGCTGTCTCTCATTCTCTCTCTCTCAAATAAATAAATAAAATCTTTAAAAAAAAAAAACAACTCTTTTTCACCGAAGCCAAGTTACGAAAAAAGAAATATTATATGTGAGCAGGCAGGGCCGTCCGTGCACAGGGTTTGTCTGGAGCAACACACACTGGCTCCCACAGGAGCTTGAGGCCTCTCTGAACTGCACTGGATTTCACACACCTGCCATCAAGATGAGATGAGTTATAGAGGGGAGGGCTCCTCACCGTGTCCGTCCCGTCTTTCCGTGTTCCAAAGCCAGCTCCCTTAGTAGCTGGGTCTAGGGATGAGGAGGGTAAGTCCGGAGGAGGGTCTGCGATCGGCCGGGCTCCTGTTTGGAAAAGCCTCCTCCCAGACTTAGGATAACACTGTTGGGAAGATGGCTGTGTGTTTAACAACTTCCCACTTTATTACCTGCAGACAAAGAAGAAAAGATATAAATAGATGTTTAACCACACAAATAGTTTACCTTACTGCTTTCTTTATGACTATGAAGTAATAAAACAAAATTAAATCAAGAGCAATAACGATTTCGGCCCCATGGTTACTAGGCAAAAACTGGTATTTACGCTCTCTCTGGAAACCAAAGCAAAATAAAATCTATAAACTGAGCGTTGGGAGCACACCATGGCATTTTTCTTGGGAGACATTTTCACTCGAATTTTCAAGTAAAAAGTACACAAAGTTGCTTTTTCCTTCCATGATTCCGTTCATGACGAGGGCCTGGGGCAGGCAGTCACTTGTGGTTGAGACACGTCGTGGCAGAACCCAAGCTAAGGCGCTCAATGCAGAAAGCAGAGAGCTCAAGAAAAGGGAAAAGAGGAAACACATACCCAGGAGCCCAAGCCCTCTCCAATCTTGAGAACCTTAGAATCTCTCCTGGACACAGGTAACTTCCATCTGACAGCTGAGAAATGCAGGAGGAAATGAAAACAGAGCCCAGACAACTATGAGGCCTTAGGACTGACAGATGCTGTGGGGAGTCATCCAGTTTATTCCTCCACTGTCTGGCGAAACGGGGCCCAGACCACTCTTCATGGTTGCCGGTCTCTTCCCTTTTGCCCTGAAAGGGTTGCTTTAACTCCTCAGAAACAACTTTCTGAGAGCTTGGCATCCCCGCTCTAAGGGTTGAGATGGGGGTGGAGAGGAAAATCAATATAAACACCTGGCTGTTTTCTGCTTGCAGCTCGGGCACAGAAATGAGTGAATTCTATGAGTCAGAGTTCAATCGAGGATCTGTCACGTTTGGGGGATTGATTTCCTGAAAGGATCTCAGCTTTGGCACTTGGTGTTCCTGGTATCAGAACTGCCCCCATCTGCAAGGATGTTGTTATGATTGTAATGTTTCTTGGCATTGCTCTTTCAGTTCATCATTTGCAGTTTTTTGATGAGCCCGCCACAGCTCCGACTTTTCCAGTATAACTATCCTCAGTGGAGTATCATCCTGGGTTACTGCATAGGAACCTCATCTTTCATCTGCATCCCCACATATATAGCTTACCGGCTGATCATCACTCCAGGGACATTTAAAGAGGTAGGTGCTAGTGTGTGTGTTCAGACTAGTAATTGTTTTGGGAGAAAAGGATTTTCTGGTTGTGCTCTATTCAGAGGAGATGAGCCCCCCACCAGTTGGCTCTCCATCTTACGTATTTACATGCCTACACCAATGTGCAGACCTGTAGTGGCTGCCACCCCCATGAGGCTTAGATGCAGTGGCAAAAGAGAGAGCTGGTTATTTGCATGCACCAGAGCACACAGCTTGAGGTGTGGATACCATTCTAAACTTATCAAATGACTACTTTGCCTTCTGCTTGCCACTGGGCACGGGCATCAGATCTGTCATGTCTGCAGCAATACACATTATGGTTTATTAGAGATTTACTTATTTATTTGAGAGAGGGAGATTTATTTATTTGAGAGAGAATAAATAAATATTTATTTGCGAGCAGTGGGAGGGGCACAGGGAAAGGGAGAATCCTCAAGCAGACTCCCCACTGAGTGTAGAACCCAAGGCGGGGCTCCATCCCAGGACCCTGAGATTATGACCTGAGCTGAAACCAAGAACTGGCCGCCTAACCAACTGAGCCACCCAGGTGCCCCTGAAGCAATACACATATTTTGACTTAAGTGGAGATTATGGTGGAAAATGTCCATGGTCATTTTTCTAACAGCAGTGTGATGAGTGCTATTTTGAAAATCATCACTAAATAAGGATGTTGAAGCAATATAATAGTTTTAGCTCAAACCATTGGAGTAAAAAAATAAGTTTCCATTATAGTAGTATTAATATAGTAATGAATAATGCTATAAAATTTTATTAATAGAACCTTATAATTTGTATAAGATTGTATATTTTTCAGAGCATCTTCATGTAGATGATCTCCTTTTGCTATCAGAATCCCTTGTGAGGTGGATGGGCAGGTATTATTAGAACAAGATATTGAGGCTGGGAATAATCTTGCTCAAAATTTCCTTATTTCAGTGACTTGTCCAGGATATAAGTACAGGGATGCTCAGAATCCAGGTTTTCTAATTCTTGGTCCAGTTCTTTTCACTTTTGTCCTCAGGGGATCAATAGTTTATGTAGAAATTGGCACTAGAGGTTTGGGAGCGGTGAGTTGCCATTTTTCATCCAGTGCCACCAGAATTCGTAGTTGAGGTCACCAGGATTCCCAATAATGTGGTATTTCGTTATTTCCAGAATTGAAAATGTTTGTTACTTGTTTGGTTGTCTTTCTTGCCATAGCAGGAAGGTTACTGTGGCAGAAGAGCCTGAAGAAGTCTGTAGGTGGGTGCTTTTGTAGGGGATGAGCTCAAAGGTGAAGAGTGGTATTTGGGGAAAGCTAGAAGGGACCGTATCTGTAACGACCTGAGAACTGAGGTGGTCTATGGGCTCTTAGATGCAAAACTCAAATAGGAGACCATCACACTCATCTTCCTAAAACATTTCATAAGAAACATTAAGCAAGAGTACATAAGGCAATTAAACATCAGCTCTTTCTGAGAACAGCTGAGTGCATTTCTTTTTCCAAACAGGAACTGAATTCTAGGTGGACAGAACTCGGCATGGAGTTACTTATTTCCTGCACTGCAACCAGTCCTATCACAACCTCATTCTTCCCCAAGGGCCTGGGACCCTGGTGTTGCTTGAAATACACACTCAGACTCAGAATCATTGGATTTATCCCTTCAAATCATCCTTTATCATGGTTGTGATGATCCACTGGTTCCATTGATTAAAATCCAGAGGTCAAGGTCAGGGGTGGGAAGTCTAGTTAGGTTAGAAAATGTCAGTATTCTTTGGTCAGACTACACCTCAAATCCTGGTCCTCTCTCTTGCAAATTCTCCGTTGGCCACAAGGAAATGTCACCCAAGGGTGAATAATTATTACAGCTCAGATCCATTAGCAATAGAGGTAAGTAAGGGTGATTGTACCATCATCTTTGCCACAGGCCATCATACGGGGAACAGTGGGTTTCCAGGAAGCATGATGCAGCCCGTCAAGGAAGACTGGTAGAGAAAGGAGCTAGTCAGCTCTAGCAAGTCACTTATCTTCTCTGGACCTTAGTTTCTTCATCTATAAAATGTGCTTATTGGACTGGATTAACAATTCTCAAACTGTTTTTTAAGGAATAAAATATCCTTGGACTATCACTAGGTGTTACTGCTGGGGAAAAGGTTATGTGGTCAAATAACTTTGAAGAAAGCTGGATTAACGCAAGTTAAATAGGTTTCTTTACTACAGGACTTCTCAAAAGCCTTTATATGCCCATTTGCATGCTTAATCTCTGAGATGGATAAAGCATGCTAGGTTTTTTTGCCAAGTACTCCAAGGGACTATTCTTTGTGAACACCAGACTTGCTGGTCCATAACATTCTATCTATGAGGGAGGGAGGCCGCATATGAAATTTTGGTATAGTTAAAAAAAAAAAAAAAAGGGTAAATTTCTTAACTCTTTTGGGCCCAAGCCATATAAAAGGTTGGAGTTTGTGGAATGATCCTCCACTTGCTCACCTGGAATTTGGAGGATATCACATGCACCTGCAGCCTGGAAGTCTCCAGTTTGGAGTCATCAACTAGATTAGGTCATTGTTGTAGAAAGTCCTAGTAAACTGCACAAAGATACTGGGAAGATGGGCCCTCATAAGTAAGCGTTCATGAAGATGTCAACAGTGATCTGTTTCTTAGATTATCACCTTGCAAAAGGCCAAGGCCTGGCAAATTTTGAGAGCAGTGGTAGTCTGGCAACTGGAATGCTGCCAAAATAGGGAAAACAAAAGTGGGCCTAGCATTTTGGGAGATCAGTAGCCAGAAGGGCAGCAGAATGGGTGGCTGGGGACTAGGACACAAAAGCCAAAAGTTCTGCTTTGCAGTGTTGTTCATTTTACCTTAGTGCTCTCTTCTCTTCCTGCACAACATAGCTCCACTCGAGACTAGTTAGAAAGATCTGCGTCCAGTTCCCAATTAGCAAGACTTAACTCTGCGTAATCAGTTATGGTTTACATACTCATCTGTGGGGAGGGATGATTTGTGAAATTTTGCTTTCTATGGCTTGACATGTCCAGGTAGCTGATGAGGGCTGCAGCTGATGAGGGCTCCTTTTTAAGGGGATTTCTGGCGTGAAATTTCTGTTCTTGAATGTTAAGGTCATTAGGAACACAAAATATACAATTTTGTTAATTTCATTAACTATGCAGATGGAACTGTTTGAATTCCATAGGCCCTGCTCCGTAAAGAAGAACAAACTCCCAGAATCAGGAAATAAAAGATTGAAGGACTGAAACTAATATAACATTATGTATTAACTGTCTCAAAAAAAAAAAAAAAAAGACTGAGGGGGACTGACTAAATACTTTTTCAATCCAAAATAAAAAGGACAAGTAGCAGAGCTTCACCTACAATCCATAAATCAAAAACTGCTTTCAAATCCAGTTTTGCCCACTTCCTGTACATACTTTCAGCCATCAAAGATTTTGCTAAGCAACTTAATAAAGATTTTCCTAAGCCTCTGAAGTGCTTCTGTTTTCCCTTCTTCACATCCCTGAGCTGCTTCATGTCACCCTGATGCTACGTTTTACATGGTGGGCTGTATGTTTCATACCCAAGCCCAAGCGTATTTCAGATCTGTCTTAAAGCTTCTGTGTATCTCAGCTGTTTCCAAACTAAAAATTCCTAAAGTCTTCCCTGTAATGAGTCCTATGTCAACATGAGTTTGCTTTAGGAGTGATTGATTTAAATGGTCACATCTTTTTAAAAAGTTTTGTGATCATTTGTAACCCTCTATGAACTAACTTCACAGGTAGATTCCTGAGATCAGTAATATCCCAGCCATTATAGCGGCTGCTGACACGGTACATCATGCGCCCGGTGTGTGTGCAGGGTGCAAGGAACCTGGCTGGGGCGGGGTGGGGGGTGTACAGGGTCCAGCATTCACTCTGCTCCCTGTGCCCTGTGTGGCCACAGGAAGCCTCCTCAGTGCCGAGAAAAAGATGTGCTTTCCCAGGTCTTTGAAAGCATGTTATACCCCAGTGGAGGTTCAACTGAAAGATCATCATTTTCTCCCGCTAGTGTTACAATGATTTTTGTAATTAGTTGACAGATGCTTATAGTTCCTGAATATATCATTTTTTAAGTTGTATGTAGGTATGTATGTATGTATGTATGTATTTATTTAAAGTGATCTCTACACCCAAAATGCGTTCAGACTCATGACCCTGAGATCAAGAGTCACAGTGTCCAACTGAGCCAGCCAGGTGCTCCCTGAACATAGCATTTTTATCTATATTTGAGAAAAGATAAATTGGGAATTCCTTTCTTTTTTTTTAATTTTTAAAAATTTTATTTTATTGTTATGTTAGTCACCATACATTACATCATTAGTTTTTGATGTAGTGTTCCATGATTCATTGTTTGCGTATAACACCCAGTGCTCCATTCAATATGTGCCCTCCTTAATACCCATCATCGGGCTAACCCATCCCCCCACTCCCTGGGAATTATTTCCTTAAGGAAAGTCAATGAGACTATTCCCACTTACTAGTAAATGCCATTAAAATGCTATTTAAATGTTTTAATATTAATGTTGAAATATTTTTGCAGTACTGTTTTATGAGTGTTTGTAACATCATATTTTCTTCCCAACAGCGTATTATTAAAGGTATCACTCCAGAAACAGCGACAGAAATTCCCTATGGGGACATCCACTTGAATGCCATATAACAAGCTTCAGTGAGGGGAAAATGGCTTCCGAACAACCTCTTCCTCTGGTTCTGACAAGTCATGCCTCGCCTTCTCCCCTCAGAGTGAACAAGTTTCCAGCTACGCCTGACAATGGAAGGGCCTTCTTCATGGAGAGACAGTCCCAAAAGACTATGGTGCCCAGACCCTTATGGCCTCCAACTACTTGTTTCTGGGAAATCTCCTGGACATATCACCACATTAGCTCTATGACACAGCTAAACTGGACTATTTTGGATGCGTGAGGGTGTGTATGGAGGTGATGAAAGCCACCATCTAATCAGTTAGGATTAGGCTAAGAATCAAGTTTGTACAAGTCTCCTGTGTCATTTCTTGTTATGATCATTGGTATCTGACATCCATTGCTTCTAAAGGTTTCACTGTTCATGAATGCATAAGCCACGTAGGAGAAAACAGAGATGCCGTCTTGCTAGCCATATATTTTCTGAGTAGCATAGAATTCTGTGGCTGAAATCTACTAGAACCCTGTAACCCGTGTGCTGTTGTGGAGTCCGCAGAGGGAGAGGTAGAAACTAAATGGAAAAATAATGTATTCACGTGAGCATGTGTGTCTGTGTATACTGTTGTTTCAGTGTATCCTTGTCTCTCTTCCAATACTTCGGGCCTGTTACAAACTATATGAATTTCCTCTAATTTTTCTTACATTAACAATTCCACCTGCTCAAATGTGTATGTATGTTATTGTAAGGGTATCATTGCCAACTTTGCCTTCTCCAGTGACCCCGCTTTAGCGCGCACCTTCCTTTATGGGCCAGTGCTTAGCATTTGCTGCACTTCATTGCCATCTTCCTGTCTCTGCCAGCTAAACATTCAGGATAATGTTCCACAGGCAAATCTGGCCTGTTTCATTAGTGACTGAGGCTTGGCCGTAAACTGCTTTGAAGACGGATACTGACAAATGCGTCTTCGGTGTTCAGTTGACTATCTGGTTTAAGCTCTGTTTCAAATGACCGGGTTTGACCACTCAGGTTACCTTGCTTTGTGAAGAGAGGATAAATCCAATTCTTGCTTATAGGGTGTAGAGTCTGGCACCCTGACCTTAACCAAGGTCACCCTCAATCTAGGAGTAACTGGAGACTCTGGGTTGGCCTTAAATGGAATTCCCCTAACACTTCCTGGTTGACCACCAGGATTGGGAGCCCTCCAGCTAATATTCCAAGATTGAGGCTAACTGGAAAAGGGTCAGTTAAATGAATAACCTTGCATTCCACATAAAGCCTTGAATACAGATCAAGTAAATTTGACCTTGAGTGGCTTGTGACTTTCAGATGCATAACTAAAGAAGTAAATTTACCTTGTAGTGTAAGATTTCCTCACCAAAATCTTGAAGGGAATAAAGCCTAGTCCATGATAAAAGGACTCAATCATCTTGCCCCACATCATTTCAGTCCTCTATATATAGCATTTAATTCTAACCACCTTACAGAAAGAAGACCCATATAGCAGAAGCTTGGTTTTATCCAATTACAGATCTTCCTCTCTTGGCTTCTTTCCCCAACAATCTCTGCCCCAGCCATCTTCTTGTACTCCCCCTACATTCTTCTATTTCTGATTCTTTGCTTCTCCCAGCAGGATATTTTCCTTATAGATGTGAGCTGCTGAGAAGTTTCCCAAAATATTAGAGGAAAAGAGAAGAGGGATTAAAAAATGTCCCTCACTGACCTACCTTCATTATCTTCGCTCTTTCATCCCTTCATGCTACCTTATTTCCATTCTCTTTGCTTTCTAGTGTGCTGAAAGGAGAGGAGTTGTGTAAGTGGCAGCGTAATTCAGTGGTAAATAGCTTTGCAAATTTTAAGAACTACTTTATAAAGATATTCAGATATGGATTCTTTCCATCCCACACACACTTAACACATGTTCCAAAGACATCATTTTTTAAAAAGCACTTTTTCGGGGCGCCTGGGTGGCTCAGATGGTTAAGCATCTGCCTTCGACTCAGGTCATGATCCCAGGGTCCTGGGATCGAGTCCCGCATCGGGCTCCCTGCTCCTTGGGAGCCTGCTTCTCCCTCTGCCTCTCTCTCTCTCTCTGTCTTTCATGAATAAATAAAATCTTTAAAAAAAAATAAAAAAAATAAAAAAAAAAATAAAAAGCACTTTTTCAAACAGAATGGAGTTTTGCCAAGCCAGGTGCTGAGGGAATTATATAGGTGTTTTGAAAAGTTTTCACACTTCACTGGACTTAAAAAAAATAACAAAATCTCTGTTCTGCACAGTTTGCATTTACTTGATCCCTATTTACTATTATGGATTTTTTTTTAAAGGAAAACTTAGAAGTAGGTAGGTGGACTTTAAAATAATCTTTTAAAGACCTTTTACATCTAATGTAGTATTTACATAAAAGTAAAGAATAAAAGTGAAATTGAATTGTAAAGTTATTTAAGTACTGAAGTTAATTTTTTTTTTTTTTTTGCTGTGATTTTATTAGTAAGAAATACCCAAGAAATAGGCAAGACACAAGATAAAGGCATGGAGGGCAATTCAGCTGATTCAGGTTGTTTCCTATATTGATAAGCAATGAAGCCAAAGAATTCATCTCCCTTCCAGAAAACTTACAACCTATTTAAAATTTATTCCATTTGCTGTTTAGAATGCATATGACTTATAACCTAAATTCATTGCCCTGGCTGCCCCATCTGGAGATGAAGACCCTGACAAGCACAAAGTCAACAAAATAGCTCCAAAATCAACTAGCGAAAATCAAACCAAATAATGAAATCTCACACTAAGGCAAAAAAAAAAAAAGTTATTTGGTGAGATGAGTCACTCCCTCACCATCCTCTTTTTACTAAGCTTGTTAACTTGCGACACCAATCTTAAAATTTAAACTTAAGTATGAATTTCCATTTAACCCATCCACCCCACCTCCACGCCTGAAAAGGGAGATTACTCTCCTATAATTACAATCATATTCTCTCTGATAAGTAGGAAGGAGTGACCCGATATGTTCTACCTATTGTATAATTGATTTGGGGGTTCACTGTCAGAGCAAAGCTTAAAACTATGGAATGCAATGGCTTAACTGTGGTGTTCTTACCCATATCTTAGTGCTTAGCTGCAGAATCGCACAATCCAAGCCTGGTTCCCTTCTTAGCACATCTCGACTCCTCTACTCATAAATCAACAACTGGTGCTTAAGATACCAGAATTGTTCAGAATGGTGTCATTAAACACGGCAGTAATCAGAGGACATCCTTTTCTTCATTCTTTTTTTTTTTTGGTCAGGGGGTAATGGGGAAAAGCAGTAGGTTCCTCAGAGAGACTATGTTACAATCTGTCATCCCATAAGTAATTAAGTAATGTAATAAAAGCGAAATAGTCCTATGCTCAGTGGGAAGCCTTATATATGTTAAAGTCATCATGGAGCTCACACATTTAAAACACAAGGTGAGTTACACAAAAGGCTCTTCACTGGGAAGTTGAGTTTATAAAGTGCTTATTTGAGAAGCATGTCAGAGAGAGAAATTTATAAATTCATATATGGGAAAAGAAATGTTACAGCAGAGATTATCCCTAAACTGTAGAAAGCTGTTCTGGTCCACTTGAAACATTCTGGTTTTTGAAGGTTTTTTTTCAGTATCAGAGATAAGTAAATTATCTTATTAAAATTCAGCGTGAGTAGCTCCATAGATGGAGTATTTCAAATTTCTAAATTTTTTTCTTTTCTTACTTTCCCTTCATTGCTTAACTCTCTCTAAATTTTAATGATAGAACAATATTTTAAAGTTTAGATAATCACATTACAGGCAGAGCAAACCTGGTGATCTAGCTAATTTCTCTGCTCTTCCTGGGATCTGGAAATTTCTAAATGAAGGTGAGGTTATTTCCTCTGCTAGAATGAAATAATACTCCTCTCAATTGGTTTAGTGGGCATTTACCTCAGTGGAAAAGATAAACATTTTAGGATGGAATCTTAAATATGTCTGTCCTTCTGTTTCATATAATTGGGACCTATTTAGTATTGTTTCTAAATGGAGTGTTTCAAAACAACTCACCTTTTCAAGAGAAGAGGTCTTTTTTTTTTTAATGATTCACAATATATTTCAGTTTGAATTTCAGATGGTATTTCTCTTACCAACACATCACAATATCCATGCCAAATTGCTCGACTAAATGATAGTAGATCATTATTTCTGGCAATTTGTAAACACTGACAGCCCAAACAACAAATATTTGGGGAAGAGGAGTTATCCCATCTTTATGCTAAAATACCTAAAATACTATAACCAAATAAGAACATTTTCTGGGTTTTTTTTAAGCTATTCTGGGGGTGCCTGGCTGGTTCAGTTGGTAGAGCATATGACTCTTGATCTCAGGGTTTTGAGTTCAAGCCCCATGTTGGGTGTAGAGATTGCTTAAGAATAAAAATCTTGAAAAAAAAAGCTATTTTGAAAGATACTTCTTATTCAAACTCTAATACTAGAAGTGCACCTTAAAACTTGATATATGAAAAATGCATATTTTAAAAGATAAAATTAGGGACTTCAAGAGTTTGCAGTTATTTCTTGAATGGCATTTAAAATAGGTTTTGACTGGGGTCCCTGGGTGGCTCAGTAGGTTGAGTGTCCGACTCTTAATTTCGGCTCAGGTCATGATCTCTGGGTCCTGAGATTGAGCCCCCCCAATGAGCCCCATGCACAGAGGGGAGTCTGCTTGGGATTCTCTTCTCCCTCTGCCCCTCCCCGACTCACACATACTCTCTATCTCAAATAACCTTTTTTTTTTTTTTTTAAGATTTTTATTTATTTATTTGGCAGAGAGAGACAGCGAGAGAGAGAACACAGGCGGGGGAGTGGGAGAGCGAGAATCAGGCTCCCTGCTGAGCAGAGAGCCTGACTAGGGGCTCGATCCCAGGATCGCAGGATCGTGACCTGAGCTGAAGGCAGATGCTTAACGACTGAGCCACCCAGACGCCCCTCAAATAAATAAATCTTTAAAGTAAATAGGATTAGATTTACAAACAATTTTTCAGGATACTATATGTGTTGGACATATCAGTGAGGTACTTCAAGTTCTTGATTATGGTTAATTGAATTATATAAATGGTATTTCTTTCCCTTCATCTTTACTTTCCTCTTCCACATTACCTACAATTACAATTAAGTAAATTCCTTCTTCTATTCACTTCTGTCAACAGTGGTACGATGAAATTTCTTATTTATTTTTTACATAAAACATTTTTAAACTTTAGTGGCAGAACTAAACTAAGTTTTATTTGTATAAAAGTAGAATCCCCTCTTTAAGATGCATAGCATGCCCCTGTATTCATTTATGCAGTCCAGGTTAGATGAGAGATCTCAGCAAATGCCTTATGTTGTGAACTGTCAACTGTAATAACTCTTAACATCATGATATATAGATTTGTTCTGTCTCACAATAAAAACAAAACTTCCAAACTCTTAAGGTTAAGATAAAAATCTTAACTACATTATCAAAACATTTACACAATTCCCCAACACTATACGTCATTTGCAAATACTTAGTATCAAAACTACCTAGAATTAGAAATATTAAATTTCAGTAAAGCTAAATTACTACAATTTTTGCAATTCATGCAGAACTTTAGTTGATAATGTGTTTTCACATATATCATCTCATGTGATCATCAGAACTCTGGGTGTTACTTCCCTAGTGTTGCCGATGAGGAGACTGAGCCTCAAAGAAATCAATTAATTTGCCCAAGTTCACGGC